AAAGCCCTAAAAAACCTCACATTCTAAAAATGAAAACCATTGTTAATTCACTATGTTGTAAAGAAAATTAAAAAGCAGAATCAATACAATACGATGCATTCCTCTACTGTCTAATCATAAACAATATGGAAGGGAATATATACAGAAGGGAATCATGAACGGCGAAAAATGTGTGTAGGTATTTCTACCATTCCTAACACAGTGTCATCAGAGCACAAAACTGAATTATTTTGCTTTTGATTGATTTAATCCAGTTTATCCAGCAAAAATTAAAACAATTAAAAAAATCAATCCTTCTCTATAAAACCATCCATGTTGCATTCAGCAATAGTGAAATTATATCTCATGATGTACAATTTAGGCGTTACTCTCTATGAATCATTATTATTTACAGAAAGATATTGATAGGCTGGCAATGAGTCACGGACAGTTTTGTAATCTGAAAAGCTGGCTTCTTATTGGAGACTTTTGCCCTCTCTTTGGCAAGGAGCAATAGCTAACTGTGCCAAGTTACTAATTTTTTGAGTAGGCCTCCTCTTGTCACATAAGTGGTCTAATAAGATTGCAATGAGTTGCTGATTTTAAAATACACCAACATTCTGTACTGCATATTACATTGCAGATCTTTATGGTCTAGATACATACAAATTATTTTAATTTTCAGAATTGCACTTGGCCCAAAGAAATAATATGAATTTTGTAACTGGCAGTATTTATATTTCTCAGAGGTCTAGTAAAGTTTTGCTAACTACAGGATATCCATATAATGTGAAAACTTCATATATGTGAAGTCTTAAATCTACACTAAATGGTTGGTTCTTTCTTCAGTTTCTTAGTTATTAAATGACCTAATATTTGAGAACAGGAACAACTTCCAAATCCTTTGTTAATTAACTAAATGAGATGAATAAAGGGAATACTCTAAAAAACATCCTTCCCTGTAGTCCTAAGAACTGGAATAAATCAGAAGAAACCCATTCTGTTTTGTTACAAAAAATGACAGTATAATTTTAAAAATCAAGTGATTTTAAAAATCAAAGTTCCTTACCATGTTACAAAACACAGACCATACCCTGAATCCATTGCAGTCACTGCAAAACTTACATCAGCAGGAGCAGGGTTGGGCCTCAACACTTTAGATTATTACAAGTGAGGTATAAAAAAAATTTACTTTTCACTAATTATACTACATGTTGACTTTTTTGGTTTTCTATTGGCCTGAACAATGAAAACAGATAGTCCATTTTACTTTTATTGTGGTCAGTTTTTAACTGATGATTTCACCATCGGTTTCTGACCTCTAAAAGAGCTGAAATGTATTGCAAATACTTAGGGCCCTACCAAATTCACAGCCATGAAAAACGCATTAAAGACCATGAAATCTGGTCTCCCCCCATGAAATCTGGTCTTTTGCATGCTTTTACCCTATACTACGCAGATTTCATGGGGGGAGACCAGCGTTTCTCAAATTGGGGGTCCTGATGCAAAAGGGAGTTGCAGGAGGGTCACAAGGTTATTTTAGGAGGGTTACAGTATTGCCAGCCACCCTTCTGCACTGCCTTCAGAGCTGGGCGGCCCGAGAGCAGCAACTGTAGGCTAGGTGCTCAGCTCTGAAGGCAGAACCCTGCCAGCAGCAGCGCAGAAGTAAGGGTGGCAATACCATACCATGCCACTCTTACTTCTGTGCTGCTGCCTTCAGGGCTGGGCATCCAAAGAGTGGTAGCTGCTGACTGAGGGCCCAGCTCTGCAGGCAGCAGTGCAGAAGTAAGGGTGGTAATACCATACCATACCATCCTTACTTCTGTGCAGCTGCTGGTGGTGGCCCTGCCTTCAGAGCTGGGCTCCCAGCCAGCAGCCACAGCTCTCCAGCTGCCCAGTTCTGAAGGCAGCGCCATCGCCAGCAGCACATAAGTAAGGGTAGTAGTACCGAAACCTCCACCCTATAACCTTGCAGTCCCCCCACAACTCCTTTTTGGGTCAGGACCCCTACAATTAAAACACCATGAAATTTCAGATTTAAATAGCTGAAATCATGAAATTTATGATATTTAAAATCATATGACTATGAAATTGACCAAAATGGACTGTGAAATTGGTAGGGCCCTAGAAATACTTAAGAGGAACATTTTTTCTCTAGAGTGATTCTGCTGATTTTTTCCCTCTGTTGATCTTAGGTTTTATAAAAGTTATCTTTAACAACACCTACATTTTGGGAAGAATTTGACCAGTGTCCCTTTGATACATCTTTGTACTATGATTTAACAATTTTTTGTTTTGCATTTCTCTATAGAAAGTACATGATTACCAAATGAGAACATCACTGGGATTAATAAAGATTACGGTGAAATGTAGACCATAGAATGCAAAACATATGATGTATATTATAAATCAGGTTTATAATATCTGCTACATGCCATGCATTTAATATTTGTAAACAGAAATTTCATATGCATATCTAAACATTACTAATTCGTGGCAGTGGTTTAGGAACTAATGAAACTCCTGCTCAAGTCAATAGAAAGACTTTTGACTTCAGTGGGAATTGGATTGATCACTTAGGTCCCCAACTAAAGAAAGCACTCCTGTATCAGGGCTTTATTGCTAAACTACAGGTATTTTGGAATATATATAAGAAATTAGGTTCCCCACAAATTCACTCTTTTCTATGCAAAATTTCCATCCACTTCTAGTACCCAATAAGATAATAGCATTGAACTGAAACCACAATCTACATTTTTGAAAAAGGCCTTGATAAAACAGATTCACAACTTTGAAGTTAATCTACTTAGCCAGGTTTCAGAGTAGCAGCCGTGTTAGTCTGTATCCGCAAAAAGAAAAGGAGTACTTGTGGCACCTTAGAGACTAACAAATTTATTTGAGCATAAGCTTTCGTGAGCTATGAAGTGAACTCAGAAGAACTTATGCTCACATAAATTTGTTAGTCTCTAAGGTGCCACAAGTACTCCTTTTCTTCTATTTAGCTAGTTACCTATACTACATTCACTTGAGATACAGAACTGTTACAGTCTATGAAAAAATTTTATGTGACATATCCAGTAAGTTTGTACAGAGGCTAACACATAGCTTGTTATAATATGAACACTGGCCAAGCCCTCTGTTGCCACATGCTTATTTGCAATCCTACCAAAGATTTAAGAATGCATCACTGCAGTGGTGATGTGAGAACAGTAATGTGAAAAATGAGATTATTTTCAAGAAAAAGCTACACAACCTTGTTTTTTTAAGTTAAATGAGAACATAATCTCAGTGTCTTTTAATAAATAAAATCATGGGCCTTTGTTCTGTAAAAATTATGCTTACTCATTAATTATCAAATAAGTCCCCAATCTGGCGATGAACTCTGTGTGGTTGAACTCCAGGAAGATATGGGGGACAAAGCTGATATTAAACTTGATATTTCATTTTTAAATGTTAATTGTTTATTATAATGTTTACAGTATAAAACTTTCTAAGTTTTTTAAAATTTGATTCTCCTAAATCTGAATGTTTTATGTTATCAGGTAAGAGTGTTTTACATTATAAGGGATGTTATGTAAATAACTACATTATACATGATCTTTCATGGTATAAAGATTTTCTCTAATGCAGGAAATAAACTTCTGGGGTGAAATCTTGGCTCCACTGAAGTCAATGGCAAGTCACTTCAATGGAGTCAGTTTTCTACCTCTGGTTACTTTTTCCATAGATTGTCCTGAATATATTATCAAAACTCTCCACCTTTTAAAAAGTCAAAAGGCCTTTTGTAAGAATCAATGGATCTTATTATTCTCAACAGATACTTTATCAAATAATAGGTTCTTAATACTCATAGGACAGGCATCTTAAATAATGTTTCCAAGAAATGACCTAAAGAGGAATATGACTTTAAGAGGGTAAATCGCTAATATCATAGATGCAATTTCCTGCCATGATCGAACTCTGAATACTCCCACAGGAGGAGAAGGAACAACTGCAGCATGAGTTGAAGCTCATTCCTTGAATTAAATCCCACTTTTAAAGTCTTCCCTGGCAGTTAGAGTATGTTTTAAGTTATTCATAAAAGTGCTTTTGACATATCAAAATGAATTTGTTTCATCACAAAGCAGCCATCTCCTAAAATTCTCAAAAATGAAATATTTACTTGAATATGTATAAGAAGATCTGAAGTGCCTACCTATTTTGATAAGCACAGTGAAACTAGAAAATGCGAGGGTCATAAATAGTAATGAAGGGGGTAAACATGTATCATTCCCCTCTTCCAAAAGCAAAAGACAATCCACTGCATGCATTAAATTTTGCACAGTCCTAACCTCACCTAGGGTATCACATCCCATTTAAGGCAGGCCCTATTGGCAGCCATACTCAGGATTCTCTACCCACAGCACTTCCAAAAGAGCTCAACTTCTGAAGAACTGGGGTTGGTGGTGCACCCAGGGACAGAGTGGAGGCACAAAACCTATGCCTGGATGACATTAGGGCAGAACTAGTGTCTATTCTATGATGGGAAGAGATGGGCAAATCCCACACACCGAAATGTGAATACATTTTAGTTCTTCTATTTTGGACAAAATCAATGCATCCTTCTTTAATTTATATTCTGTATTCATTTATACTGTTAATGCTTCACAAATTAAATTTTTATGTACAGCCAAATTCTGTACTCACTTACATATGTGCAAACTTTGTCAGCAACTGTAAGGGTTTACAGCTTTTTCCCATAGTACCTAAATGTGCAATTCAGGTATTCATCATTCTAAAGTAACATATTAATAAAGCTAACAGTCTTTGTGCAGCCATAATCTGATGTTCTTTAAAAGCAAAATTTACCTTTTAATTTTTCTTTCAATAACTAAGTTACTTTTTCATGTGAACAAACCTAAGAAATGTATAACCTGTCTAACCACTTTTCAGTGATAAACCAATCTCTTTTCACACTACTGCACTTTTGAAAAAAAAACTACATGGAAAAACAAGTAATGTCTAAATGAAGTGGACGGAACGGGAGGTATGGGATCTGATCGCTGTATGGGGAGACAAATCCGTGCTGGCAGAACTCCGTTCAAAAAGACGAAATGCCAAAATATTTGAAAAAATCTCCAATGGCATGAAGGACAGAGGCTATAACGGGGATCCGCAGCAGAGCCGCGTGAAAATTAAGGAGCTCAGGCAAGCCTACCAAAAAACCAGAGAGGCAAACAGCCACTCTGGTTCAGAGCCCCAGACATGCCGCTTCTATGATGAGCTGCATGCCATTCTAGGGGGTGCAGCCTCCACTACCCCAACCCTGTGCTTTGACGGACGCCATCCAAGGAGTGGGAGGCAACATGGAAGCAAGTTTTGGGGGCGAGGTAGATGATGAGGAGGAGGAGATTGTAGATAGCTCACAGCAAGGAAGCAGAGAAACCGGTTTCCCCAACAGCCAGGATCTGTTTATCACCCTGGACCTGGACCCAGTACCCCCCAAACCCACCCAAGGCGGGCTCCCGGACCCTGAAGGTGGAGAAGGGACTTCTGGTGAGTGTACCTTTGTAAATATTATACATGGTTTAAAAGCAAGCGTGTTTAATGATTAATTTGTCCTGGTATTCGCGGCCAGTACAGCTACTGGAAAAGTCTGTTAACGTGTCTGGGGATGGAGCGGAAATCCTCCAGGGACATCTCCATAAAGCTCTCTTGTATGTACTCCCAAAGGCTTTGCAAAAGGTTTCTGGGGAGGACAGACTTATTCCGTCCTCCATGGTAGCACACTTTACCATGCCAGGCCAGTAGCACGTAGCTGGGGATCATTGCAGAACAAGGCATTAAGCTTATGGTCCCGGTGTTTGCTGGCATTCAAACAACACCTGTTCTTTATCTCTCTGTGTTATCCTCAGGAGAGTGATATCATTCATGGTCACCTGGTTGAAATAGGGTGGTAAGCAGATATTCAGAGGTGCCCGTTCCTGCTGGGCTGTTTGCCTGTGGCTGAACAGAAATCTTCCCTGCTGTTAGCTATGTGGTGGGGGGAGGGGTGAAGCCATCACCTCAGAGAATTGGGTGTGTGTGGGGGGGGAGGGGGTTAGTTGGGTTTCTGCACCCCCTCCTTTTAAATTGCCAACCCATTTTTAATGGCCAACCCAACAGCTACTTCGTATGGGAAATGAGGGCACTGCTGTTTGAAACCATTCCCACATGTTATGAAGGTTAAAGAAGCCAAAAGACTGTGGCTTACCATGGCTGCCTGCAAGCCGAATTCTGCTGCCCGGCCCTGCATGAGTGATCTCTCACACCAAACCAGCATACCCTCAATAAGAGGCAAAGTGCGACCTTGTAATGAAAGCACATGTGCTATGTAATGTTAACAGCAAGGTTTACCGTGAAAGAGTGTACCCATTGTTCTATAAAATGTGTCTTTTTAATTACAACTCTCCCTTTTTTTCCCCTCCACCAGCTGCATATGTTTCTCCTTCCCAGAGGCTAGTGAAGATTAGAAGGCGAATAAAATGCACTCGTGATGAAATGTTCTCTGACCTCATGCTGTCCTCCCACACTGACAGAGCCCAGCAAAATACATGGAGGCAGACAATCTCAGAGTGCAGGAAAACACAATATGACTGCGAGGAGAGGTGGCGGGCTGAAGATGGCATGGTAGGTGGCATCAGCTTGCTGAAAGAAGGCAGGAATCAATGCTCAGGCTTCTGGAGGATCAAACTCATATGCTCCAGTGTATGGTTGAGCTGCAGGAAAGGCAGCAGGAGCACAGACCGCCGCTACAGCCCCTGTGTAACCAACCACCCTCCTCCCCAAGTTCCAGAGCCTCCTCATCCAGACGCCCAAGAATGCGGTGGGGGGGCCTTCAGCCACCCCACCCTAGAGGATTGCCCAAGCAACAGAAGACTGGCATTCAATAAGTTTTAAAGTTTTAAAGTGCTCTGTGGCCTTGTCCTTCCCTCCTCCACCACCCCACCCAGTGCTTCCCTCCTCCACTACCCCTCCCGGGCTACCTTGGCAGTTATCCCCCTATTTGTGTGATGAATAAATAAAGAATGCATGAATGTGAAGCAACAATGACTTTATTGCTTCTGCAAGCGGTGATTGAAGGGGGGAGAGGAAGGTGCTTAGCTTACAGGAAAGTAGAGTGAACCTGGGGGGGGGGTCCCATCAAGGAGAAACAAACAGAACTTTCACACCGTAGCCTGGCCATTCCTGAAACTGGTTTTCAAAGCTTCTCTGATGCGCACCGCGCCCTCCTGTACTCTTCTAACCGCCCTGGTGTCTTGCTGTGCGTAATCAGCGGCCAGGCAATTTGCCTCAACCTCCCACCCCACCATAAATGTCTCCCCCTTACTCTCACAGAGATTGTGGAGCGCACAGCAAGCAGTAACAACAATGGGAATATTGGTTTCGCTGAGGTCTAACCGAGTCAGTGAACTGCACCAGCGTGCTTTTAAACGCTCAAATGCACATTCTACCACCATTCTGCACTTGCTCAGCCTATAGTTGAACAGCTCCTGACTACTGTCCAGGGTGCCTGTGTATGGCTTCATGAGCCATGGCATTAAGGGGTAGGCTGGATCCCCAAGGATAACTATAGGCATTTCAACATCCCGACGGTTATTTTCTGGTCTGGAAAGTAAGTCCCTTGCTGCAGCTGTTGAAACAGACAAGAGTTCCTGAAGATGCGAGCATCATGTACCTTTCCCAGCCATCCCACATTGATGTTGGTGAAACGTCCCTTGTGATCCACCAGTGCTTGCAGCACCACTGAAAAGTACCCCTTTCAGTTTATGTACTTGCTGCCTTGATGCTCCAGTACCAAGATTGGGATATGGGTTCCGTCTATCGCCCCACCACAGTAGGGAATCCCACTGCAGCAAAGCCATCCACTATGACCTGCACATTTCCCAGAGTCACTACCCTTGATATCAGCAGCTCAGTGATATCAGCAGCTCAGTGACTTGCATCACAGCAGCCCCCACAGTAGATTTGCCCACTCCAAATTGATTCCCGACTGACTGGTAGCTTGGTATTGTCCGCAAACTTTATAAGTGTACTCTCTATGTCATTATCTAAATCATTGATGAAGATATTGAACAGAACCGAACCCAGAACCGATCCCTGCGGGACCCCATTCATTATGCCCTTCCAGTATGACTGTGAACCACTGATAACTACTCTCTGGGAATGATTTTCCAACCAGTTATGCACTCACCTTATAGTAACTCCATCTAGGTTGTATTTCCCTAGTTTGTTTATGAGACGGTCATGCGAGACAGTATCAAAAGCTTTACTAAAGTCAAGATATACCACATCTACCTCTTCCCCCCATCCACAAGGCTTGTTACCCTGTCAAAGAAAGCTATCAGGTTTGTTTGACACAATTTGTTCTTGACAAATCCATGCTGACTGTTATTTATCACCTTATTATCTTCTAAGTGTTTGCAAATTGATTGCTTAATTAGTTGCTCCATTATCTTTCTGGCTACAGAAGTAAAGCTGACTGGTCTGTAATTTCCCGCGTTGTCCTTATTTCCCTTTTTATAGATGGGCACTATATTTGCCTTTTTCCAGTCTTCTGGAATGTCTCCTGTCTTCCATGACTTTTCAAAGATAATTGCTAATGGCTCAGATATCTCTTCAGTCAGCTCCTTGAGTAATCTAGGATGCATTTAATCAGGCCCTGGTGATTTGAAGACATCTAACTTGTCTAAGTAATTTTCGAGTTGTTTTTTCCCTATTTTAGACTCTGATCTTACCTCATTTTCACTGGCATTTACTATTTTAGACGTCCAATAGCCACCAACCTTCTTGGTGAAAACTGAAACAAAGAAGTCATTAAGCACCTCTGCCATTTCCACATTTTCTGTTATTGTCTTTCCCCCCCCCATTGAGTAATGGGCCTACTCTGTCCTTGGTCTTCCTCTTGCTTCTAATGTATTTGTAGAATGTTTTCTTGTTTTCTTTTATGTCCCTAGCTAGTTTGATCTCGTTTTTTTGCCTTGGTTTTTCTAATTTTCTCCCTATATACTTGTGTTATTTGTTTATATTCATCCTTTGTAGTTTGACTGAGATTCCAGCTTTTGTAGGACTCCTTTTTGAATTTTAGATCATTGAAGATCTCCTGGTTAAGCCAGGGTGGTCTCTTGCCATACCTCCTATCTTTCCTACGCAGTGGGATAGTTTGCTCTTGTGCTCCTAATAATGTCTCTTTGAAAAACTGCCAAATGTCTTCAATTGTTTTTCCCCTTAGACTTGCTTCCCATGGGATTTTACCTACCAACTCCCTGAGTTTGCTAAAGTCTGCCTTCTTGAAATCCATTGTCTTTATTGTGCTGTTCTCCCTCCTACCATTCCTTAGAATCGTGAACGCTACTATTTCATAATCACTTTCACCCACGTTGCCTTCCACTTTCAAATTCTCAACCAGTTCCTCCCTATTTGTCAAAATCAAATCTAGAACAGCCTCCCCCCAGTAGCTTTCTCCACCTTCTGAAATTAAAAAAAAAAAAAGGTCTCCAATACATTCCAAGAACTTGTTGGATAATCTGTGCCCTTCTGTGTTATTTTCCCAACAGATGTCTGGGTAGCCATGTATGTCCCCCCGATACATCTTACCAAAAAAATCATATTGACTTTGAAGTGACTTCAGAATGCCTGTACAGACAATGTCAGATCAGGACATATGCATGGGAGCTTGCTATTGAGACTGAAATGTCAGTATTCTGCAACACAGGGAGAAATACCTAAAGGGAGTCAGTGACTCAGTTATGAATTGTGCACTAACATGAAGCTAGCTCATACAGTGCCACTTCTGAATATTTTGTTGGGTTCCAGAATAGAATATCTTCCCCCATTCCTGCTTCTTTTGGGCTGTAATATAATTACACGATAACATGCATTGTACTCTATATTTCACCCCAAAAGAAAAATATGCTGAAGTTTTTCTTAGGAAAATTGTGAAGATTAACTACCATAAACGAGAGTCTAAGAGTAATAGTAACTTAGCATTTTTCAAAACCTGATTATGACTGAATACTAACACTTTGGGAAAAAAATATACCATTAATCACTTGACACAGCTGTACTAGTTATAAAAACAATCTGTTACTTTATTTTAGAAAGAATTAACACAAAAAAACCATCTTGAAAATTCACTTTTATGGTAAACATATTTTCTTATGTTGAATTCACAACTTTTTGCTCATAAAAAATTTCTTTGGGCCAATTTTTCACTTTTTTCACTTACTGTATCCCTTGCCCTTTACAGAAATAGTATGGTTAGGAATTTTCTACTTCTTTTTTTTCAAACGGCTTCCTGCAGTGCATTTCAGACAAGACCAGGAAACTATAGTAATTATAGAACAGAAAACACAGAACAGAATTATAGTAACTACGGAACAGAGATTACCCAGAAGCCCTAGAACAGATCTCACCTGTACAACAGAAATGGATAATACAAAATGGACTGAAATTGCAGGGAAATCATAGAATCATAGAACTGGAAGGGACCTTGAGAGGTTATCTAGTCCAGTCCCATGCACTCAAGGCAGACTAAGTATTATCAAGACCAACCCTGACAGGTGTTTATCCAACCTGCTCTTAAAAATCCCCAATGATGGAGATTCCACCACCTCCCTAGGCAATTTATTCCAGTGCTTAACCACTCTGACAGTTAGGAAGTTTTTCCTAATGTCCAACCTAAACCACCCTTGCTGAAATTTAAGCCCACTGCTTCTTGTCCTAGCCTCAGAGGTTAAGAACAATTTTTCTCCCTCCTCCTTATATGTACTTGATGTATTGTCACTTTGTGCTCGCTCCTTTCAACATCTAAATAGACCTGCACAGTCATACAGCACTCTCCATCTAGTAAACTCGGATCATTCCTGCTTGGTAATCCACTGTGCTCCTGCATTCTAGTATAAAAAAATAACTTCCCTTTCCCCTCAAAGAGAACCATGCCCTTATAAACAAATGTACATATGCTGCCCCAACCCTAATATTCTGTAACAAACCAAAGAAATGTCACTGTGACACACCCAGAAGTTATTTGAGTTATTTGAGGCCATTTTAAGCCTGGTGTCACCCAAGCCTCCTTGAAATTTCCACAAGCAAATCCCCTTTTCATAGAGGCTTCTTTGAGAGCAGTATAGAATTTAGCTAGATGCAAATCTGTTCAAATTTCCTATTCAGAAGAAGGCTTTCTTTCAGTTATCTTTACTAAACTGATTTAATAAGAATGCTACTTGTGTGTGTCATTTTATCTCTCTTCTCTCCTAAGGGCTGATATTTCTGTGTGCTGAGTGCACAGACAACTAGGATGACCAGATGTCCCGATATTTGGAGCTTTGCCTTACAACCCCCTGTCCCGATTTTTCACACTTGCTGTCTGGTCACACTACATAAAACATGGAAAACCTCAGACAGGAGACACAGGGTAAACATTTCAATATAAAATACTGCAAAGTCCTTACCTCGTTACAAATGTACACATTTACAGTATTCTGTAGCAATAAATCTTGCAATGTTCCAAGCTTGCTCAACATCCATGCAAATTAAAACAGAACAGAGTGCTTTTCATTTTAATTTGTAGAATGTTTATTATGTTCTCTCTTGGATTTTTCCTTTTTTCTATGGCAGTAAGCCACCTGCCCCTCCCTCTGCTCCCCTCTTTCCCACCCTGAACTATTTCTCCGTGGGTCTTGCCTTGATTTCCCAATTCCTTCATTCTGGAGCCAATATTTCTAGTTTTTTCATCAGCAAAAAATTGCATGTATAGTGCCTTGCCTCGCACAAAACCCTTGCCCTGTCCCTGCCCCGCCCCTCCTCCGAGACCCTGCGCCTTTTCTGATGCCCGGCCCCCTGCTCACTCCATCCCCACCCGCCCACCCCCCGTTGCTCGCTCTCCTCACTCTCATGCACTCACTCATTTTCACCGAGCTGGCTCAGGGGGCTGGGGTGTGGGAAGGGGTGAAGGCTTTGGCTGGGGGTACAGAGGTTTGGGATATAAAA